CTATATTGCAATATGATTTTTGCACACAGTGATTATTTAATCTTAAATTTACCCCCAGCTAAAGCCCTCATCAGACTCCAGCCGCAGCCAGCATCTAATTTTAAAGTATGTGCCATGTCAGTTTAAATAGTTAAAATAAGATGAGCACCAATGAGAACGGAGAGTAACGTGTGATTCATCAGTTGGTGGGTCCCTGAACTGGGTAGTGGTGATGTCATAGTTGGACAGTAGTGATGTCATCTGTTACATGACTCAGGAAAAGTAGGTTAATATGACTCAAATTTGTGAGCAAAACATGGCGGCTTACCAGGGTCACTGCAATGTAGAAATATTCAGCAAGGCAAAGTGCACTAACCAATAGCAACCAATCCGACCAGGGGTGGACTGACAACTCATGGGGCCCCCGGGCAATAGGGGATCATGGGTCCCCTGTGTCCTTGCCCAAACTCAAAAAAGCCTATGAAAAAGGTACCAGGGGCATCTTATGGGGCCCCCTACTGACCCCGGGCCCTCGGGCAGTGCCCAGTTTCCAAATTGTCAGTCCGCCCCTGAATCCGACTAATTCTAACTCTACCCAGATTCCTGTATAAATGCCTTTGTATGTAATGTGATTTACAGCACAAACAACACCCCGTCCCACCCCGATACGGCGAAAACACAAAATAGCAAATATGTTCAATCTGCAAAATATATTCATCTCTTTTCTACAGAAGAGAACAAGGATTCCGCCTAGGAAGATTTGAGGACAGACAGATTTGAGGCCAGACAGTGGTCTGTCTAGAATCTACATACAATCTATGTAAAAAACTACATACAATCTGTGTACAATTTTAGCATTGGCTGTATCAGAAATGGTAAGGATGAGAGCGCCACAAGCTTACAATACGTCCAGTAAAAGCTTTTCTTGACAACAGGTCAGAGGATACTGTATATCCAACATGTTTCAGAGGTTTAACTCCTCCTTCACTGGGGCTTGAATGCTTCAATGATTAGAGCATACTGGACAATCAGCCTGGCGACCAGCAATTATTCTTTACACTAGAATCTTTGTTTCATACAATTGTTCTCAGTATACCCCAATCATTGACACACTCAAGCCCTGATGAAGGGGAAGCTGTGCCCCTGAAACATGTTGGGATATATCTATGACCTGTTATCAAGACAAATTAACTTTTACTGTACTTAGACTAAATCCTAGTACACACAATCAGAAAAATACTGCTTTTGAAGCAATCATACAATAATCTGATTGTTAGTACACAGTTTTCGTCCAAAATTATTCAAAGGGACAAGCATAAAAAATATTTCTCATACAATACCAGATCGCACGATTTCTGTTTAATCAGTACAGTTTTCGACTGAAAATACAATACAAATACAATACAATAAATTACATCACTTTCAAATTTTTATTCTGTCGTAGGATTTTCATAACTTTAGTAACCTCTTCACATTCGAAATGAGACTAGCATGCAAAAAAAAAAAAAAGAACGGACGACCATTCGTCTGATATTCTCGTTATGTGCACGGGGCTTAACCTATAGCATTCCCAACTTTATTAAACTGATTACTCAAGGGATACCCCAAGTGACTCACACAGGTACCTTTAGGAACTAAACTTTGAACTATTGATCGCCTAATAGTTGGTTCAGCGCTCCACCAACATGCCCATTGAGATCTACAGAGAGATCTGATAGGCCAATATACACAGCACAGTCTCCAATGTTTCTTGATCTTCCTCATCTGTCATGTCTGGGGAAATCCTAAACAACCTCCTGTCCATCCACCCACCACGCACACAGTACAGGCGGAGCTCTTCAGGCTTGCCTTGCAGGTATGTGGCACTCTTCATGTATACAGTGAAAAAGTATGTGAACCCCTTGGGATTACGTGGAGTTTTGCATGAATTGGGCATAAAATGTGCTCTGAACGTCATCTAAGTCACAACAATAGAAGAAACACAGTCTGCTCTAATACTACACAAAAACATTAGATGTTGCATGGTTTAATTGCACATAACTGTAAACATTGTGTAGGGAGGAAAAAGCTGGTGAGGCCCTAGCTTAATGACTTCTCCCAGAGCTAATTGGAGCCAGGAGTGAGCCAACCTTGTCTCCAATCAGTGTGTGATATTGGATGTGTTGATCACAGCTGTCTGCCCTTAAAAAACACACACCTGTTTTGGGTTTACTGGTTTCAAGAAGCACTGTCTGATGTAACCATGCCTCGCAGAAAAGAGCTCTCAGACCTACGATCAAGAATTGTTGACTTGCATGAAGCTGGAAAGGGTTATAAAAGTATCTCCAAAAGCCTTGATGTTCATGTGTCCACGGTAAGACAGACTTCTAACTGGAGAAAGTTTAGCATGTTGTCCTAGGGTGGAGCTCTAAAAATGACTATCGCAATGCAGAAGATTCCCAGAGTGTCAGCTATACAGAAATCTCTGGCACATGCTAAATTTTTGGACACATCTACAATAAGGAAAACATGTATCCAAGAATGCAGGACATGAAGCCTCAAAAAGAATATTGCAGCATGTTTAGTTTGCAGAGTGGATGAGCTACTGGCTCTGTGATATACAAGATTGAGTTGTTTGGGAAGAACAACACACAACTATGTGTTGAGAAAAAAAAGGCACAGCACACCAACATCAAAACCTCATCCCACTGTGAAACATGGCAGGAGGAACTCATGGTTTGGGGTTGCTTATGCAGTTCAGGGCCTGGAGGATTTGTTGTCATTGATGGGAAAATGAATTCCAGAGTTTATCAAGACATTTTGCAGGAAAACATACGACCATCTGTCCGCCAACTAATGACCAAAGCTTACAAGTAATTCAACAAAACAATGGCTGCAAAGCACAGAAAGCCTTCTGGAGTGGAGGATCTTCTGACCTTCTTCTATGTGTGCATGACATTAAGAGAGCTGATTCTTCCCCACCAAGAATATTGCTACACTGAACAGTTTTGTGAAGAGGAGTGGTCCAAAATTACTCAGATCGTTGTGCAGGTCTGATCTGCAAGAAATGTTTGGTTGAGGATTGCTGCCAAAGGGAGGGTCAACCAGTTATTAAGTCAAAGGTTCACATACTTTTTCTCCCTGCATGTGGATGCTGTGCAATTTAAACCACGGCAACATCTAATGTTATGTGTAGCATTATGTTCACTACAGACTGTGTTCTTCTATTGTTGTGACTTTAGATGACGTTCAGAGAATTTTATGCCCAAATTCATGCAAAAACTCCACGAACCCCAAGGGGTTCAATACTTTTTCTTGCAACTGTACAGTGCAGGTGGGTACACTTCTCTGTGTATACAATGAAGTGAACCTACACAGTGCTGGTGAAGCTCTCTGTGTTATAAAAAGCTGGTGGAGCTCTCCTTTATAATGAGTATACAGTGCAGGTTGTGCTCTCTCTGTGTATACCAGGACAGAGCTCTTCTATACAGTGCAGGTGGAGCTCTACATGTATCCAATGCAGACATGAACAGTGCAGGTGGAGCTCTCTGTGAACAGTGTGGTGGAGCGCTACATGAAATACATTGCAGGTGGAACTCCTCTATGCAGTTCAGGTGGAGCTTTATGTACAGTTGCAAGAAAAAGTATGTGAACCCCCGTGGAGTTTTGATGAAGAGGGCATAAAATGTGCTCTGAGCAGGAATAGAAGAACACAGTCTGCTGATACTTACATAATACTCACAAACATTAGAGCAAGAAATTGCACATAATGTAAAATTCACAGTGCAGGGGGAAAAAGTATGCACCACTTAATAACTGGTTGAGAAGCAAGACCTCAACCAAGGGTAGGCAGATCACTGCACAATGATCTGGAGTAATTTTGGACCACTCCTCTTCACAAAACTGAGTGTAGCATGTCCTGGTGTGAATCGCTCTCTTAAGGTCATGCCACAGCACAATCGAGGTTTGAGGGTCAGGACTCTGACTGGGCCACTCACAGAAGATGACTTGTATGCTTTGGGGTCCTGTTGCACAGAGACAGATGGGCAAAAGTTCTTGATAAACTCTGGAAATTTTCATCAATGACATCCGTCCAGAGAGGCAGCAAAGCCCAAACCATGATGCTCCCTCCGCCATGTTTTACAGTGGGGATGAGGTTTTGATGTTGGGTGGCTGTGCATGTTTTTTTTTCTCAGATAGAGGTGGACTCAGTCTTGGTTTCATCTGTCACAGTATATTTTGCCAGTAGTGCTGTGGATCCAGGTGCTCACAGAGAGGAGGAAGCAAGATGTACTCCATTCTTGTTTAATGTTTTCCTTATTGTAGATGGTCAACAAAGAATGTTAGCATGTGCCAGAGATTTCTGTAGCTGAAAGAAGCAGCAGTGCGCTGTGCTCTTGCAGTCATTTTTTACAGGGAGACCACACCTAGGGAGGAGCACAGTGCTAAACTTTCTCCATTTTGTAGACAGTCTGTCTTACCGTGGACACATGAAATCAAGGCTTTTGGAAGATACTTTTGCAACCCTTTCCAGCTTCATGCAAGTCAACAATTCTTGATCGTAGGTCTTCTGAGAGCTCTTTTCTGCGAGGCATGGGTTCACATCAGGAGCTTCTTGAAACCAGTAAAAAAAACAGGTGTGTGTTTTTTAAGGGGCAGGACAGCTGTCAGAAACACATCCAATATCATCACACTGATTGGAGTCAAGGCTCACTCTGGCTCCAATTAGCTCTGGGAGGAAGTCATATTAAGGGGGGAGTCACATACTTTTTCCTCCCTGATGAGTTTACATGTTATGTGAAAACCATGACAAATCTAATGTTTGGTAGTATTATGTTCAGCAGACTGTGTTCTTCTATTGTTGTGACTTAGAGACGTTCAGAGCACATTCTATGCCCAATTCAGCAAAACTCCACGTAATCCCAGGGGTTCACATACTTTTTCTTGCAACTGTATGTCTGCTACAAAAGGAATATTAATGCGCTAGAATGGCGGCGAAGTATAAGAGCGTATGAGGATCTTCTACCTTCTTCTATGTGGAGTCAGTCTGTAATCTTCCCCACCAGGGCAGTGATCAGTGCTGTCAGTGCAGCTGCTCGCTTCTCAGATGTCTGGAGGACTTCCTGGTGGTCGGCACAAGTGGAGCTGTCATATGATGTCACTACCATATTGGTAATGAGAGAGAATCCAAAAATGCGGAGGGCAATGACGTCCCACCAGCACTTCAGGAACCGTGCTCATCCCTGGAACCAATGAGAGCAGGAGAGGATCACCCAGGGCAGAGTACATAAGGGTGGAGCACAGGACAGGAGGAAAATGAGAACAGGGTGGAGCAGACAGAGAAAGTCAGAAAAATACAGCAGGGGGGGTGCCCAGAGAAGAGAAAGAAGAGAGCAGGGGGAGCACAAAGGGGAAGAAAAAGAGAGCAGGATGGAGCACAGTGAGAGGAAAAAAGAAATTAGGGGGCACAGAGAAGTGGAAGAGAGAACAATGACACAGAGAGAACAGAGAGGAGAGCATGGGGGAGCACAGAGAGGAAGGAGAACAGAGCAAAGCAGAACACAGAGAGGAGAAAAAAGAGAACAAGTGGGGGCACAGAGAGGAGGAAAAGACAGCAGTGGAGCACAGAGAGAGGAGGAAGAAGAGAGCAGGGTGGAACAAAGAAAGGAGGAAGAAGAGAGCAGGGTGGAACAAAGAAAGGAGGAAGAAGAGAGTGGGGGGGGGGCACAGGGAGGAGGAAAAATAAGGCAGGAAGGAGCAGAGATAGGTGAAAGAATAGAGCAGGGAAGGGCACAGAAGGAGAAAGAAGAGAGCAGGGGGAGCACAGAGAGAAAGAAAAAAAAACAGGATGCAGTACAGAGAGGAGGAAGCAGAGAACAGGATAGAGTGAATATAAATGGAGTACAGATAGGAGAAAGAAGAGAACAGGGTGGGGTACACAGAGGTGGAAAAAGAACAGGGTGGAGTATACAGAGAAGTAAGCAGAGAACATGTGAAGTACAGAGAGAGGAAGCAGAGAACAGGGTGAGTACAGAAAGGGGAAGCACAGATCAGGGTTGAGTACAGAGGAGGAAGCAGAGAAAACAGGGTGAAGTACAGAGAGAGAGGAAGCAGAGAACAGGGTGGAGTACAGAGAGGAGGAAGCAGAGAACAGGGTTGAGAGTACGGAGAGGAGGAAGCAGAGAACAGAGTACAGAGAGGAGGAAGCAGAGAACAGGGTTGAGTACATAGAGAGAGGAAGCAGAAAACAGGGTGAAGTACTGAGAGAGGAAGCAGAGAACAGGGTGGAGTACAGAGAGAGAAGCAGAAACAGGGTGAGTACAGAGAGGAGGAAGCAGAACAGGTGGAGTACAGAGAGGAGGAAGCAGAAAAACAGGGTGAGTACAGAGAGGAAGGAAGGAGAACAGGGTGGAGTACAGAGAGGAGGAAGCAGAAAACAGGGTTGAGTACAGAGAGGAGGATGCAAGAACAGGTGAAGTTAAAACAGGGTGAAAGAGGGGAGGAAGCAGAGAACAGGGTGTGAGTACAGAGAGGAGGAAGCAGAGAAACAGGGTGGAGTACAGAGAGGAGGAAGCAGAGAACAGGGTTGAGTACAGACAGGAGTAGCAGAGAGAGGAGGAAGCAAAAAGAGAACAGCGTGGAGTAGTACAGAGAGTACAGAGAGGAGACAAGCAGAAAGCAAAACAGGGTGAAATATAGAGAGGAGGAAGCAGAGAACAGGGTGGAGTAGAGAGAGAAGAAAGCAGAGAACATAGATGAGTACAGAGTGGAGAAAACAGCGAAAAACAGGGTTGCGTACAGAGAAGAGGAATCAGAAAACAGGGTGAAGTACAGAGAGGAGGAAGAGAGACAGAGTGGAGTACAGAGAGGAGGAAGCAGAAACAGGATGAAGTACTGAGAGGAGGAAGAAGAGAAAGGGGGTAAAGTACAGAGAGAGAAAAGAAGAGAACAGGGTGAGGAGAGGAGGAAGAAGAGAACAGGGTTGAGAACAGAGAGGAGGAAGAAGAGAACAGGGTGGAGTACAAAGAGAAGGAAGAAGATACAGCATTGTGTACATAAGGATGGAGTTCACAGAAAAAGTAGAAGGTTACAAAGTGGAGACGTCTCACCAACAGCGTCGGCTCCCAGCAGTTGCAGCATGCGTCCCTCAGCGACGGTCTCATAGGAGGGGCCCCCCACCATGCAGTACACACCTTCCCGGATGTAGTCTTGTATGCCCAGCTCCCGTGCACAGTCCTTTGCCAGGCTCTGCAGATGGCAGTCGTAGCCATCAGACATACAAGGGAACCGCACGCCAAACCTGTCAGAGGACAGCAATGACACAATACAGAGCTCCCCCCCCGGTACAGGTGGCACCACACCAGGGACTGCACCAGACTATTCTATTGTGGTCTGTGATAGGTGAGATTGGTTGGGGATGAGGGATTCCGAGGACAATGATAACACTTCATGGAATACTGCCCCACCCTCCCCTTTACCTGTCATCGTTCTGTCCTCGCAGGGGGTTCTGTCCAGCCAATCCTGGCAGGTTGATGTGATCTTTGATGAACATGATGTCCCCCACAGAATAGCTGCCATTCAGCCCGCCTGCTGCGTTAGTCACAATCAATGTGTGTACTCCCAGCAGATAGAATATGCGAACTGGGAATGCCACCTGTACAGGCAAAATACTGGATGAGCCCCAGAGAGTGGCTGGTGAGGCGCATTCTACTCTTAGCCTCCTCCATTGTTGCTCATGAAGAAGGGGGGGGGGGGGGGTAACAGTCTGGGGAAAGAAATCATAGCCCCCTACACCCACCTTGTCCAACAGTAGAAATGGCCTAGTAACCAAAATGGAGGCTCCTTATTTCTGGCAGAGATCAGAATGTTTATTGGACAGTGGGGACAATAATTGGCAGCTCTGACCATCAGAGGGGCGGTTGGGGAGGCGATTTTTGTACGGGCCAATCCTTCTCCAAGGAGCTCAGGAAGTGCCCAAATCAGGTGCCTATTTGTCCATAAAATGCCAAAGGGTTGTGGGAGGTCTAGTCCCTGGATGTCAGCTGTGCTTGGATGTTGGTGGAGGAGCTGAGACAGATTCACTGTTATCAGTGTCAGTTCCTCCCCCCTCAGGTGTCAGATGGGGGCTCACAACTCACACAGTCCTGGCCTCTCTTTTGGATGTAATTAAGTTAAAGGCTGTAAGTCACTGACACCATCTCCCCTCCTCAGGTATCAGATCTGGGGGCTCAGACCTCACACAGCTCTTGCCTCTCCTCTGGATGTTAATAGCACAAACTCTGTAAGCCATTAACACCACCTTCCCGCCCCCACCCCCACCCCCTCCGATCAAGTATCAGATGGGGGCTCAGACCTCACACAGCTCTTGCCTGTCCTCTGGATGTTGATATCATAAACTGTAAGCCATTAACACAAACTTCCCCCCCCCCCCTCCGCTCAAGTATCAGATGAGAGCTCAGACCTAACACAGCCGCCATCTCTTCTGTGGATGCTAATATGATAAATGCTGCAAGTCACTGACACCAGCCCTCTCCTCCCCACCTTAAGGAGCAGATGGGGGCTCAGACCTAACACAGCCTCCGTCTCTTCAGCTAATGTGATAAAGGCTGCAAGTCACTGACACCAGCCCTCTCCTCCCCACTTAAGGAGCAGATGGGGGCTCAGACCTCACACAGCCCTCGTCTCTACTGTGGATGTTGATAGCATAAACTCTGTAAGCCATTAACACCACCTTCCCCCCCTCCGCTCAAGTATCAGATGGGAGCTCAGACCTAACACAGCCGCCATCTCTTCTGTGGATGCTAATATGATAAAGGCTGCAAGTCACTGACACCAGCCCTCTCCTCCCGCTTTAAGGAGCAGATGGGGGCTCAGACCACACACAGCCCTCGTCTCTACTGTCGATGTTCATAAGATAAAGACTGTAAGTCACTGACACCACCTACCCCTCCTCAGGTATCAGATAGGGGCTTAGACATCACATAACCCACAACCTCTCCTGTGGATGTTAAGAAGATAAAGGCTGTAAATCACAGACCCCCCCCCCCTTAGGTATCAGATGGGACTCAGACCTCACACAGCACTTGACTCTCCTGTTGAATGTGAACAAGATAAATGGTGTAAGCACGGACAACACCTCCCCAGGTATCAGATGGGGGCTCAGACCTCACACAGCACTTGTCTCTCCTGTGGAATGTGAACAAGATAAATGTGTAAGCACCGACAACACCTCCTCCTCCCCTAGGTATCAGATGGGGGCTCAGAGCTCGCAGCCCTGATGATCCTTTACACATTAATGTTGTTGAGAAAGTTTAATGGCTGACTTTCCCACACTGGTTACATGTGAAAGAGGCAGAGGAGCTTATGGGAGCCCCCAGGCATCAGCTACTGACCATTGCTACTTACTGCAGAGATGGAGTATCCCTCATACATGTGGAATCGGCCCTGCATGCAGACACACGGCTTCCCACTCAGCATTCCAAGCACCAATCTACCCGCGTGGCCCTGCACTGGATGAGACAAAGGGGTGAACACCCCATTACTCCTCCATACTACCAAGAGGTAGGTACACCAATCCTAGCCCTCACCCCTGGAGGGCGCTGCTTTGAGTCTAACAAGCCTGTGTTCACTTACCAGTGCTGCGGGGGAAGTTCGGGATCTGCTCATACGGTATGATGACTTTATCATGTAGGGTGTCAGCCAAAGATCCCAGACCAGAACCGCAGATGATTGCCACTCGGGGTCGGAGGTTGGTGTGAGCCAGAATCCATTCTGCAGCCTCCATGTACAACTTCGCGGGGAGACTGGAGGAGAGGGAAAAATCATCAACAGAGATCACAGTATGACCATCAACTGATACAGCTCACAGTGCTACAATATGACCATCAACTGACACAGGTCACAGTGCTACAGTATGACCATCTGAACTACAGGTCACAGTGCTACAGTATGACCATCAACTGACACAGCTCACAGTGCTACAATATGACCATCTAACTGACACAGCAGGTCACAGTGCTACAATATGACCATCAACTGACACAGGTCACAGTGCTACAGTATGGCCATCAACTGACACAGGTCACAGTGCTACATATGACCATCAACTGACACAGGTCACAGTGCACAGTATGACCATCATCTGACACAGGTCACAGTGCTACAGTATGACCATCAACTGACACAGGTCACAGTGCTACAGTATGACCATCAACTGACACAGGTCACAGTGCTACAGTATGACTGACACGGGTCACAGTATGCTGACAGTCACAGTGACCATCAACTGACACAGGTCACAGTGCTACAGTATGACAGTCAATGACACAGGTCACATCAACTGACACAGGTCACAGTGCTACAGTATGACCATCAACTGACACAGGTCACAGTGCTACAGTATGAATACTGACACAGGTCAAGTGCTACAGTATGACCACAACTGCAAGGTCACAGTGCTACAGTATGACCATCAATGTCACAGTGCTACATCATCTGACAAGGTCACAGGTACAGACCATCAACTGACACAGTTCTACAGTATGACCATCAACTGACTGATACAGTCACAGTGTGCTGACACAGAGTTCTACAATGACCATCAACTGACACAGGTCACAGTGCTACAATATGACCATCACACTGACTGATACAGCTCACAGTGCTACAGTATGACCATCAACTGACACAAGTCACAGTGCTACAATATGACCACCATTGACACAGATCACAGTGCTTCAATAGGACCATCAACTGACACAGTCACAGTTTTAAGATGCGATCATCAACTGACACAGATCGCATTGCTATATGACCAACTGACACAGATCACAGTGCTACAATATGACCATCCAGTTGACACAGATCACATTGCTTCAATAGGACCATCAACTGACACAGATTACATTGTTAAATGTGCGATCAACTGGCACAGATCACATTGTTAAGATGCGATCATCAACTGACACAGATCGCATTGCTATATGACCAACTGACACAGATCACAGTGCTATAATATGACCACCAGTTGACACAGATCACATTGCTTCAATAGGGCCATCAGCTGACACAGATTACATTGTTAAAATGCGATCATCAACTGGCACAGATCACATTGTTAAGATGCGATCATCAACTGACACAGATCGCATTGCTATATGACCAACTGACACAGATCACAGTGCTATAATATGACCATCAACTAACACAAATCACATTGCTACAATATGACCATTACAGCGGAACTTCACCCCCTCAATCAACATGGACTACTTATAATCCTTATGCTGCCAGCATTAGCAAATAGATAGGAAAGTATATCATATTTACTTGTTTTAAACTTTTTTTTTTACATTTCTTCAGCTACTTCCTGGTTTCCAAGTCTAGGCAAATGATATCATACATCCCAGGTGTCTTCAGGAGGGGAGGAGGGTTCTCAGCTCAGCCGATGCTTGAGCTAAGGGCAGATGGATTCCAGGAAATAAGCGCTACATGAATCATCTGCCCTTAGTCAAGATGGCCACTGCCAGGGGATGTTTTTCAAAATGATTTCTCAGCAAAATAAACCATGAAAACATGAATGGATAGGGGAGTTTGCTTTGAATAATAACAATGAATTAAATAGCATTTTTGGTTTGTGGTGCTCAGGTGCAGTGCTGTTCCCCTTTTCCTGGCACAGATCACATTGCTACAATTTGACCTCAGTTGACATAAATTAGTCTTGTGGAATGGGATCTCAACCACAGCAACACCTGCCTGGAGTTTGCATTTTCTCCCTGTGCCTGCGTGGGTTTCCTCCAGGTACTCCGGTTTCCTCCCACACTCCAAAGACATGCTGGTAGGTTAATTGGATCCTGTCTAAATTCACCCTAGTATGTGTATGTATGAATGTGAGTTAGGGACCTTAGATTGTACGCCCCTTGAGGGTTAGGGACTGAATGTACAATATATATGTAAAGCGCTGCGTAAATTGACGTCACTATATAAGTACCCGAAATAAATAAATAAATCTGTTTGATTTCCATTAAAGGGAAACTCAGAGGAAAATCACTTCCTGCTCCAGTAGCAACCATTCCCATCCCCCCCTCGTTCTCAGACCAATCATGTGAGCTGTCCATGGTGCTGATTCATATAAAAAGGTGAAGAATAAGAACCAAATGATGATGATACACACAATGCTGGATGAGGTTCACCTTTCCTGTAATATGGATCAGAATTTGGATTGATCAGTGATGGGCTTTAATTTCTTATCTCCATCTTTATTAAATCACCACCTTTGACTGCACCTTTCCGCTCTCTCTATTACCCTTATATTTGCTCCCCCTTCTACCCTTCAGTCTCTTCTGCCCCAGCCCCCAACCCCTGATCTCTTTACTCCCCCCCCATACATTGCTGGGATTAGCAGACGGATTAGTTGCTGTGTCGTCCACCCCCCTCATCCCAGCCACTGTGCCCCTTCCCAGGCTGGTGACGGTGTAAATATTAATGAGAGGATAAAAGAAAATGTAAGGGCCCCTCCACAGGTGAGCCTACCTGTATGACCCCCGCCTTACCTCCCTTCCATAGCATGGGCCATGTCACTGGTGTCCATATGAGATGCAAGATAAAGATCCCTCCCTCCTTAATCTCCTAACACCCAAAGACTGCACGTTGGCGGCTCTGTGGAGATGACAGGGATTAAAGACACAATGCATCAATGAGAGAAGTGGTAAGAGGTTGAAAACGGCATCAGCAAGGGGGGCTCCACAATATGTTGCTAGTCCCAACACACCTATATTGAAGGTGTGACACCTGGACTTCACCTATACAGTATATATTAGGTGACACCTAAACATAACCTTAATTTCACAGAAGACAACCAGATCTCAGAGGAAGTCACCTAAACCTCACTACCCAGACCTCCCCTACATCTACCAGGAGACAACCAGAATTTACCTACATCTCAGAGGAGACACCCAGACTTAACTTACATCTCACAGGGGACACCAAGACCTCACCTACATCTCAGAGGAGATACCCAGATGTCATCAGCATCTCACTGAAGACCCCCAGACCACAACTACATCTCACAGGAGACACCCAGACCTTACCTACATATCAAAGGGGACATCCAGACCTCACCTATACAGGAGATACGCAGACCTTCACCAAAATCTCACAAGAGATACCCAGACCTCGCCAAAATCTCACAGGAGATACCCAGACCTGACTGACAATTCACAAGAGATACCTGGCCCCCATCAACATCTACCAGGTGACACCCGGACCTCACTTACATCTCATAGGCGTCAATTGGATGTCACCTACATTTCCCAGGTGACATCTGGAACTCGCCTACATCTCTCAGACCTCACCAACATCCCATAGGAGACACCTAGACATAACATCACAGTCCTTTCGATTGACACTGATAAGGACTGGAAGACATACAAAGAAGCCTTATCTGTATTGTCTGTACTGTATGGTCCCATCAGACACCAACTGCCTACAGTCCATCCTTTGCTGGGCAATGACCACCAAATGCACAACTCTGGCCAATTTACTGTAGGAGCATGAAGGTTGTAGCTGGGACCCTGGACTTCTCACAGGCCCTAGGCTCCTGCCTATGTTCCTTGTGGAAGATCTAATTTACTGTAGGAGATGAAGAAGGTATCTGGGGCCCCTGAAATCCCTTCCCTGGACTCTGTATTATATTGGCTTGTAGATGAAGCAATTTACTGTAGGATGCAGGTTGCAGCAGGGGCCCCTAGACATCTGTCAAGCCCTATCCTGCCTATAGTGCCTTGTGGATGGTCTAGTGTATGGTAGAAACATGAAGATGGTAGCTGGGGTCCCTAGACATTCTTTGGGGCCCCTGGGTTCTTACCTATATTTCCCTGTGGATGGTCCAATTTACTGTAGGATGATGGCGGTACAGTGCTCTTCATAAATGAGTCCACCCCTTTTGAAAAGGAAGATTTTAATCAATATCCCAGTGAACACAAGAACAATTTCCAAAATTTTGACAAAACTGAGTTTTATAGAACATTTGTTTAGCTCATTACATGAAAGTTAGGTTAATAATATAACTTAGATTACAACATCTTCAGTTTTACTCAAATTAGTTGGTGCAAAAAGGAATCCACCTCACAACAAAAACTACTCCATCTAGTATTTTGTATGACCTCCATGATTTGTAAGACAGCACCAAGTCTTCTAGGCATGGAATGAACAAGTTGGCAACATATTGCAACATCTTTTTCCATTCTTCAAGAACGACCTCTTTTTGAGCCTGGATGCTGGATGGAGAGTGATGCTCAACTTGACTCTTCAGAATCCCCCATAGGTGTTTGATTGGGTTCAGATCAGGAGACATACTTGGCCACTGAATCACTTTCACCTGGTTCTTCTTTAGAAATGCAACAGTGGCCTTAGATGTGTGTTTTGGATTATTGTCATGTTGGAAGAGTGCACGACGACCAAGGGCACGGAGTGATGGAAGCATCTTCTCTTTCAATATAGAGCAATACATCTGTGAATTCATGATACCATCAATGAAATGCAGCTCCCCGACACCAGCAGCACTCATGGAGCCCCACAGAAGGACACTGCTGCCACCATGTTTCACTGTAGGCACCATGTATTTTCTTTTTACTCCTCACCTTTGCGACGCCATAGTTTTGAAGCCATCCATTCCAAACACATATATCTTGGTCTCATCACTCCAAAGTACAGAGCCCCAGTTTTACGTCTTCTTTTTCAGCATGGGCCCTGGCAAATTCTAGGCGGGCTTTTTTGTGCATGGACTTTAGGAGAGGCTTCCTTCATGGACGACACCCATGCATGACATTCCTCTGCAGTTTACTCTGTATTGTGTCACGAGAACCAATCACTCCAGTTTGGTTATGATTTAGCACGAGATCGTGTGAAACACGTTAACAAGTCCTGTATTCATGTCCTGGTGTTTTGTGTGTCCTATGGATAAATAAATACACACTATATTCATCTATCCTCCGGTGTGCAGCTGACCCTTCTTCCGGCTACTTCTTTAGCTAACTGCAGTGAACTTGCATGGTGATTTTCTTCAACCCTTCTCATCAGAAGATGCTCCTGTCAAGGTGTTAACTTCCATGGACGGCCTGGTTGTTTCTGTGAGATGGTTGCAGTTCCATCTTTGTTAAATTTCTGTATCATTTTTGCTACAGTATTCTGACTGATAAGTAAAGCTTTGTTGATCTTCTTGCAGCCTTCACCTTTCTTGCGTGAAGAGATTATTTTCTTTCTCAGGCCTTGTGACATTTTCTATTCCATGTGGTGCCATTGCTGACAGCATGAAATGGGAAGGGGGGGGGGGTTCTTTCTTAAGTAACACCCTTTTATAATCACCTGTCTGCTGGACACCTGTTTAATTAATAATTAGACTCCCCTGTAGATGAATTCTTATTCATTAGGATTTTGTTGTCTAAAATTTAGCTTGCTCCTAAGACTTTCATTGGGGTGTGTTCATTTTTTCAGCATGGTGTTGAATGAATTTGTTAGGAAAAATACTTCTTTGTGTGTGAAAATGAACAGATCTTATTTGCAATCAATGGTCAACATTTGTGGGAGGATTTTGTAGTATAGTGTCCCACAGGAAATGTTGATTCTGAAAGGAAAGGTTTTCTGACAAAGCTGTTGAGAGTGTACTCATTTATGCTGAGCACTGTAGCTGGGGCCCCTGGACATCTGTCAGGCCCCAGGGTGATCCAACTGATGAATGATAGTGAATCTAGGTGGAGACATGACTCTGTAAGCTGGGGCCCCTATCTCCTGGGGCCACAGCACTACTCAAAGCTCAGGGGTCACGGTAGGTCACAGTGCTGAGAAATAGGAGAGATGTTGGCTGCCATGGCAGCACTCCTGTACCGACCCCCTGTTGACAGCCTCTAGTCACATGATTCTGGGCAACTTCCCTCTCATGCTTCACTGTTTGGGGGCTCTGAGCATTCACAAAGTACATCATACTGAGCACTGGCTTCCTCCCCAGCCTTACAGAAGGGAGGGGCCGGTGAGAAGGGCTGTAGTCTTCTCCAATCGGTGATGAGGATGACGCCGAGCAGGAGGACATCGATGACCCCACAGCCGGTTAGGCCGAACGACGATCACGTGATCCTACCGCTGGTCAAGTCGCCGTGGAGACCGGCGGGTCATGTGACGGAGGAGTGGGGAGTATGAGCCACGTGACCTGCCCGACACTTCCGGGTTAGAGAGAAACTTCCCAGGCTGGTACAGAGAGGTACTGAGGGGAGAAAGGTACATGGAGGGGGCAGTACAGGGAAAAGGGGGGTGAAACTGGGGTCCTTACATAGGGAGGGCAGGGGTTAGTGCATTAAGGAACAGGGGCAGTTCATGGAGGAGAGGACTGTGTAATGGGCACTGCATGATTAGGAATGGTGGGGAGTGCATTGATGGCTGGGGGCAGTACATGATCGAAGGGGGGAGGCAGTACAGGGCAGCTCAGTACATGGATGGTGGGGGAGTACAGGGCTGGTTAGTACATGGCTGGTGGGGGAATGCAGGGCCGGTTCCTATATGGATGGCGGGGGAGTACAGGGCTGGTTAGTACATGGTTAGTACAAGAAGGGATGGATGGGGGAGTACAGGGAAGGTTAGTACATGGATGGTGGTGGGGGAGTAGTACATGGAAGGGCTAGTACATGGATGGTGGGGGAGTACAAGAATGGTTAGTACGTGGATGGCGGGGGAGTACAGGGCGGGTTAGTACGTGGATGGCGGGGGAGTACAGGGCAGCTCAGTACATGGATGGTGGGGGAGTACAGGGCTGGTTAGTACATGGCTGGTGGGGGAATGCAGGGCAGTACATGGATGGCGGGGAGCCGGGTTCCTATATGGATGGCGGGGGAGTACAGGGCTGGTTAGTACATGGCTGGTGGGGGGAGTACAAGAAGGGCTAGTACATGGATGGCGGGGAGTACAGGGCGGGTTAGTACATAGATGGCGGGGGAGTACAGGGCGGGTTAGTACGAGGATGGTGGGGGAGTACAAGAAGGGCTAGTACATGGATGGCGGGGTAGTACAAGAATGGTTAGTACGTGGATGGCGGGGGAGTACAGGGCGGGTTAGTACGTGGATGGCGGGGGAGTACCGGGCGGGTTAGTACGTGGATGGCGGGGGAGTACAAGAAGGGTTAGTACGTGGATGTCGGGGGAGTACAAGAAGGGTTAGTACGTGGATGTCGGGGGAGTACAGGGCGGATAGTACGTGGATGGCAGGGGAGTACAGGGCCGGATAGTACGTGGATGGCGGGGGAGTACAAGAAGGGCTAGTACATGGATGGCGGGGGAGTACAGGACTGGTTAGTACATGGCTGGTTGAACATTATTGGGTGGGGTGGGGGGGGTGTACAGGGTGCAGTAGAGTGATCCTGTAAGTTCTACCCTGTACACACAGGGCAAGCTCCTTTTTCTGTAGCACTGACACCCCTTCCCCTTTTTATCTTGCACAGATCTGCACCATGTCTGGTGGTGATTTCCCCCCAGAGATCGAGTCTCTGTTCGGAAAGCGTTACACGTATAACAAAGACCCAACATGGCTTTTGCCGAGCCCGTCAGAGGTCCTGACTTCTGAACACGAGGAATTCCCTCACCTCCTGTCCCTGAAGGAGTCTCTGAACAACGTGAAGAACTTGCTGAGTGACAAGAAGCTGGATGAATGGCACCGGCACACCTCCTACACCAACAAGGCAGGGCGGGTGGTCCCCGAGGTGCGCAAACAAGCCAACGCTGAGCTGTGCACTCAGGCTTGGTGTAAATTTCATGAGATTGTGTCAACCTATCCGCTGATCCCCAACAGCGCCCTCTGGGACAGCGAGCTAAACAGCGTGCATCTGTGCGAGGCGCCGGGGGCTTTCATAGCTAGCCTGAACCACTACGTGAAGACCCAAGAGCTGCACTGTGACTGGACCTGGGTTGCCAACACGCTGAACCCATATCACGAGGCCAACGATGGTATGGTGATGATTGCAGATGACCGACTCATTGCCAACACTCTGCCGTGGTGGTATTTTGGGCCAGACAATACTGGAGATATCATGACGCTGAAGTACCTGAACGGCCTACAGCAGTTTCTCAGAAACATGTCTACTGTGCACCTCATCACAGCTGATGGAAGCTTTGACTGCCAGGGGAACCCTGGAGAGCAGGAGAGCCTAGTCTACCCTCTACACTACTGTGAGGTGGTGACCTGTCTGAACACTCTGGGCCCCGGGGGGTCTTTTGTCCTGAAGATGTTCACTCTCCTCCAGCATTCATCTGTTAATCTCATGTATCTCCTGAATTGCTGCTTCCAGGAGGTTCACATCATCAAACCAGGGACCAGTAAGGCTGGGAACTCTGAGGTCTATGTGGTCTGCCTAAGCTACATTGGCAAAGAAACATTTCAGGAGCTCCTGACCAAAATGACGGCCCACTTTGAGGAAGAGATAGGCAGCAAAGCTCTGTTTCCACATAAGAGCCTTCCGACATCCTTCCTGGAGTCTCATTCTAAATGCTGCACTTTCTTCTACCAGCATCAGACAAAAACCATCTTGGAGAACCTTCATCTCTTCTTACAAATGGGGGAGAAGGAGCAGGCCCATCTGGACTGTTTACGAGAGACTGCGGTCATGTACTACCTGCAGAGCTTTCAGATAAAGTACATTCCTCGAAAGCAGTGGCTGGTGAGGAAGCCGCAGGTGGGCTGCAGCCTGAATGCTCGCTGGCTGGGGACCAGAAATCGCCGCACAGACACTTACAACGAGAGGAAGCAGCTGGAAACTTTGACGTGGCATGAAAAGGTCGCTCGTGGCTACTTTAGTTCCTGGTTGGAGGACCATATACAAGGTGTAACCAGCAATGGCTGCCTTCTGGAAGGTTCCAGGTCTGGACTGCGATATGAGGAGTGGTACTTACTCCAGGGCCAGCGGCTCACTAGGATCCAGAGCTCCCCATTTTGTGATAGCGAACTTCTAAATACCTTCAATGAAACCATTGAGAGTTGTCATGGAGATGAGGCTGGGTCTCTGCCGGGGTGCACTTTTTGCTCTCTGCAGGTCACGGACAGGCTGGTCTCCGAAGTTCTACACAGAGTGGACAATGGCCACCACGTCTTGGTGATCGGAGCTGCTCCGCTGTTCGAAGCTTTGAGACACAGACATGTGGCAGTGGATTTTGTGAAGTCTACTGCTCCTCAACAGCTTTTATCTGTTCTTCATGATGGCGATCCCCTTTACCAGCAGCAGTTGTTTGACTCCGTCCTTTGCAGTTTGCAGCAGTTGCCGAGCGGTGGCACCTTGGTGTTGCCCATCCTGTCCTCTCTGACCCGTTTTACGGCTGGTGTTGTGTATATATGTATCATTGCTTCCAGGTCATTGGCTTTTCCTGTCCAACCAGTGAGCTTACCCCTGGCAGCAATGCTGCACTCTTGTGTTGGGGGTACCGACCTCTGCCTTGTCTGGCCTACCAACACCTCCAGCAACTACTTACCAACCAGGTCTTGACTGCCAGTGGGACACAGCAGGTTCTAGAGTTCATTCCTATGGAGGAGCTTCTCACAGGCCCTTTTCTGGAGTTCCTGTGGGACCTGAATGCAGCAATTATCAGGCACAACCTCCATGTTATCGGCCTGCAAGAAACTGAAAAGGTGTCACGGAATGCCAGCCAATCGCAGACACCGTTACAGCTCCCAACACAGGAGTGAACTGCATGGTCCCGTGGAGATTCCAGAGATTGTGCCATCTGGACTCCTGTACCTGCAATATACATACGTCTGTACAGTGTAAATATTATATATAAAGCCTCACTGGACATTGCAGAACCTTCCGGTCATTTCATCTTTAGATTGACCAGTCCTCGCCTCATGTATTGGAGGAGGAGGAGGATGTGTGTAAGGCCAATTAAACAATCATTATCATTTTATTAATATGGACAGGTGTTCTTCTACTTGATTGGCCAGAATAATATGATGGTTAAAGAGTCACTCCATTTAGATCTAATATTTCATTTGTATGTTGGGGAGTGTCTCTTTGGGATTTTTTTAGTTAGATCTCTTTCTGTGCCCATTATGAGGGTTTTTCACCATACCAGTGCTGAGTTCCTTGGTCTGTATACCCACTGTGCCCATTTGAGGGGCTCCCACCAGCTCTCTGTTAAGTTTGAGTTTGCACACCTGCTGTGTCCATTATGAGGGGTTCCCACAATTCCTGTGCTGAGTTTGCATATCTGCTGTGACCATTATGGGGGAGTCTAACTATCCTGCTCTGAGTTTCTGGATCTGCACACTCAGCCATCCTTGCACTGAGTTCCCAGGTCTGTACACCTGTGTGCCCATTATAAGGGGCTCCCACCATCACTGCACTTAGTTCCCAAGGCTGCACACTTGCTATGTCCAGAATGAAGAGTTCTTACCATCTCTGTTGGATTTTTGTTTTTTTCAGAGAATGGGACAGGAGGATCTGGAACACCCCAAGGTGATGAGTGAGGACAAAACCAGGAACTGGGAGGGGGGGGGGGTGAATTCTCACCAATGGAGTCCCCAGAATATGCAAGTAGTCTGCAGGACCCTTGGTACACCATCATATATCTCTTCTGGGTGGAGTGACTCTTTAAAATGATGTACATTTTCTGGATGAAAATCATATTTTGGTTTCTAATTCTGGCCAAATTTTATTTTATTCTTTTGTATTTTCAGTTTTGTATACTTTTTTGTTGAAGGTCCAGCAGTTTCTCAGGACAGTATTTGAGTTTGGGGTCAGAGTTCTTCATGCCTCTGGGAGCTATAAAGAGTACAGCGTGTGACACTGCCTCTATTTCACCTGATCCGTCAATGTTTGTGCCTCATTGTTGGAAAAGTGAAAAATTCCAGCGTGTTACATTGTATATATTCGATATGAGTAAAAGGTGTGAAGTGACGACGGCCATTCGATCCTTTATTATATTGATCCAAGCCACCATTACAGAAATAACCTGTCATATACCTGGGCGGAGATCTGTCCATTATTATAGTGATCCAGGCTGCCATTACAGAAAGTGTCTACCTTCTGTCCACTAGTCAAAGATCTGTCCTTTATTATTCTAGTGATCCAATCCACCAATACAGAAAATACTCTCTATCTACCCTTTGCTGGATAGGGATCTGTCCTTTATTATTATAGTGATCCAGGTGGCCATTACAGGAAATACCCACCAGATAGCCATCACAGGACAGAAATTTGTCCTTTATTACAGTGATCCAGGCCACTATTACAGAAAATATCCGTTACATATAGAGATCTCTCCTTAACCACTTTCCAGCTGCCCTATAGCAGAAATACTGCTACAGGGCAGCAGGGCTGCACAAAATCACATATATGTGATTTTGCAGTTCCGGATAGCAAGCCCTACCTGCGCCGCCATTGGCGGCCTCAGCTGTTGATCACCAGGTCCCGGCCGGTGATCGTCGAGTATCACTGACTGGAGGAGAGACTTGTATGTAAACAATACAGATATCTCCCCTGTCTGCTCCTGCATAGCAGAGCAATACAAAGCAATGTGCTTACTCAGTAAAGCACACACACAGCAAAAAACAGCACACAGTTAACCCTTTGATCGCCCCAGATGTTAACCCCTTCCTGCCCAGTGCCATTAGTACAGTGTCAGTGCTTTTTATTAGCACTGATCACTGTATTGTTGTCACTGGGGATGTCAGTGACAGTTTCCCCCCCCCCCCCCCCCCCCAGTGTCAGAATGCCCGCCGCAGTTGCTGATCGCGCCCATTACTAGTGGGGGAAAAAAAAAAAGTCCAGTATGTATAACGCCATTTGTAGACGCTATAACTTTCATGTAAGCCAATTCATTTATACTTCTTGGGATTTGTTTTTAGCAAAGGCATGTAGCAGAATACATTTTGGCCTAAATGTATGACGAAATTTAATTTTTACATTTTTGTTACTGGACATGTTTAATAGCAAAAAGTCAAAAATATTGTTTTTTGTTTTTTTTTTTTTTCTGAAAATTATCAGTCTTTTTTTGTTTATAGCGCAATAAATAAAAACTGCAGAGGCGATCAAATACCACCAACAAAAAGCTCAATTTGTCGGAACAAAAAAAAGGATATACGTTTCATTTGGGTGCAGTGTTGCATGACTGTGCAATTGTCAGTTAAATTAACACATCGCAAAAAAAAAAATGGCCTGGTCAGGAATCTGCAGGGCAAGTGGCCATCTTCTGCAGGGCAAGTGGTTAATATTCTAGTGATTCAGGCCACCAGTACAGAATGTACCTGCCATTTACCCATCAAAGGATGAAGATCCGTTGGTGTGGGTACAGAATATCAGCCAAATTCTTCCATCAGATGCCTATACAGTGCTATAGGTAGACTGGAAAATATATCCATTAAATTTATGATGTCTGTAAATCCAAAACTTTGTTAGTTTTGGATGTATTGGGGAAAGGTTAGACTTCTTGTCAGGTCTTTATTCTATTCTGGGAGCACCGGAGTCCATAGCACCCTCATTGTAGTCTCACGTGGAACACATTATCGCTGCTGGCGGTGAGAGATTTCACGTCTGTCACTCTTCCTAATGGACATCCTCATTGATTAACCGGGTCACCTTGTCAGTCATGTTGAGTGCCTGAATCGTAATTCCTCAAATCCCAGACACACCACCAATTCTGTCTATCAGGAGAGTTATGTAAAGGAAGCAACAGAGTCCTGCAGCAGTGGAGAGTATTTCAGGAGAGTTAGAGGAAGGACCAGAGTTCTACAGCAAAGCAGTGTGTTTCAAGAGAGGAGAGTTAGAGGAAGGAGCAGAGTATTTGAGAAAAGCAGAGTTAGAGGAAGGAACAGAGTCCTGCAGGAGAACTGAGTATTTAAGGAGAGGAGAGTTAGAGCAGAGTCCTCCAGAGCAGACTATTTCAGGAGAGTCAGAGGAAGGAGCAGAGTCCTCCAGAGCAGACTATTTCAGGAGAGTCAGAGGAAGGAGCAGAGTCCTCCAGAGCAGACTATTTCAGGAGAGTCAGAGGAAGGAGCAGAGTCCTCCAGAGCAGACTATTTCAGGAGAGTCAGAGGAAGGAGCAGAGTCCTCCATCAGAGCAGACTATTTCAGGAGAGTCAGAGGAAGGAGCAGAGTCCTCCATCAGAGCAGACTATTTCAGGAGAGTCAGAGGAAGGAGCAGAGTCCTCCATCAGAGCAGACTATTTCAGGAGAGTCAAAGGAGCAGAGTCCTCCAGCAGAGCAAAGTATTTTAGGATGGGAGAGTTGGATACTGCATGTAGTGCAGTATGGTGGCTCCTGGTTGGTATAAGGGAGGGGTGGTAGCTCCCTTATTTATAGTAATCGATTTCTCTGGAACTTAATCAGACAGTAACATTTTTATGGTGCCTCCCAGCTGGTACCTGGTGGGGGAAACATGTTATGGTGGTTACATTAATTATGTGGAGTGTGGTATGATGGCTCCTGGCTGGTACGGAGGGGCAGGGTAACATTTTATGGTGGTTACATTAATTATGTGTAATGGGGTATGATGGCTTCCGGCTGGTACGGAGGGGCAGGGTAATATTTTATAGTGGTTACATCATTCATTGTGTGGTGTATGGTGGCTCCTGGCTAGTACCTGGCGGAAGGCTGGGGGATTGAATAACCGATATGTTGGTTACATTAATTCTGTGAAAATGGCTGAAACTGTGAATTTCCTGTTTTTGGCTGATATTGGGTGATTTCTGTGATTTTGGAGTTGAGCGGTTCTTGTCTCTGCTCAGAAATCAGGGCAGGGCAGCTCTTCCATTCTCGGATAAAATTCAAACAATTAATATCCGCAGGGTGGCTTATTCCAGAGAAAATGCTCTGTGAGCCGTGCACACCATTAACCCTGTCTGTGCCAGGCCTTCTCCTACAAAGCTGGTTATATAATGACTCCGCAGCCCACTGTAATGAGAACAGACAAGAACAGAGCAGACTATTTCAGGAGAGTCAGAGGAAGGAGCAGAGTCCTCCATCAGAGCAGACTATTTCAGGAGAGTCAAAGGAGCAGAGTCCTCCAGCAGAGCAAAGTATTTCAGGACGGGAGAGTTGGATACTGCATGTAGTGCAGTATGGTGGCTCCTGGTTGGTATAAGGGAGGGGGGGGTAGCTCCCTTATTTATAGTAATCGATTTCTCTGGAACTTAATCAGACAGTAACATTTTTATGGTGCCTCCCAGCTGGTACCTGGTGGGGGAAACATGTTATGGTGGTTACATTAATTATGTGGAGTGTGGTATGATGGCTCCTGGCTGGTACGGAGGGGCAGGGTAACATTTTATGGTGGTTACATTAATTATGTGTAATGGGGTATGATGGCTTCCGGCTGGTACGGAGGGGCAGGGTAATATTTTATAGTGGTTACATCATTCATTGTGTGGTGTATGGTGGCTCCTGGCTAGTACCTGGCGGAAGGCTGGGGGATTGAATAACCGATATGTTGGTTACATTAATTCTGTGAAAATGGCTGAAACTGTGAATTTCCTGTTTTTGGCTGATAT